CATCTGATTGTTGGTTTCATATTTGGAAAGAAAGGTCAGTTCAATTTTGTCAAATCTTGTTCAATTTAAATATAAACAGATAAATATGTACCTGTTTATATTTAATTTATTTAATTTTTCAAATGTGTGATTAAAATTCAATTATTCTGTTCCTATTTTTAGAGACAGCTTTAAAATAATCTCAGACAAAAGTGCTGCTGTGACAAAGGTTATGACTAGTTTATGAAATGAAACTACACTTTAAAAATTGCTTTCGAATTAAAAACTTGAAAAAATTTACAATGCAGATTAGTTTGGACTATTTTACCAGTGTCTACCAAAAAAAACATACCATTTATCATGAGAAAAATATTTCAGGGGAAAAAATAGTAAAGTCAGACTAACAGGCATGCAACGGGAGAAAAATTAGCTATGCTTGTTATTAGAAAATCTAAAAACCAATAATGTTTTAAGCACATTAAAAACTTCCTTGCACATACAAAAATCAGCTAAAAAGTTGGATGACAGGACACCTTTTTAAAGAATGGGTAAAGAAACTTGACTCATTTTTTTGTGCTCAAGACAGGAAAGTAGTACTCCTGGTGGATAACTGTTCGGCCCACCCACTAGTTGAAGGGCTAAGCAACATCAACCAAATATTCTTCCCCCCCCTTTCCCCCTAATACCACATCTGTTCTTCAGCCAACGGATCAAGGCATAATATGAAGTCTTAAAGCTCATTATCATCACAAAATTGTGCGTTTGTGTATCAAGGCTGTCAATAATAACGAATCCCTGCCAAAAATTTCTATACTTCAAGCAATGAAAGATTTTGTTTCTTCGTGGAATGCTGTGTCAAAGGAGACTGTCATCAACTGCTTTAAGCTGGTATCACAAAAACAAACAAGAGTATTGAAGAAGTTGATGATGATCATCCTTTTAAATTTTTGACAGAAGAACTTAACTGTTTGCAAGAGTTAGATCCTAGTGACGTCCAAGAAGATCTCTCAGCGGAATCTTACATTGGTTTAGATTGCGATGTAGTAACCACCGGTTTAATTGCTACTGATGCTGAAATTATTGCTCAGATTTTAGATCCTATTTTTAAAAACAACGATAATAAAGTTGAAGATAGCGTTGACAAAGGTATTGACGTCGAAACCCCGCAATGCTCATCTGATATTCAATTCGAATATGCTTTTGAAACGCTGTATAGAGAAGCATTTTGAAAATGAAATACAATCCCTAGCACTAAAACTCAGCATGATATACAATCCCTAGCACTAAAACTCAGCATGATATACAATCCCTAGCACTAAAACTCAGCATGATATACAATCCCTAGCACTAAAACTCAGCATGATATACAATCCCTAGCACTAAAACTCAGCATGATATACAATCCCTAGCACTAAAACTCAGCATGATATACAATCCCTAGCACTAAAACTCAGCATGATATACAATCCCTAGCACTAAAACAGCTCAAAATACGGAAATAAAATACGATCCCTAGCACTAAAAATTGAGGATTTAATGAAGATGGAAAAGATGGATAATTTAAAGCAAAATCAGATAACAGATTTTTTCCAAAAGTTTTTGTTGATAATGATTTTTGTCAGAAAAACAACTAGTTTTTATGAAAGTTGGGCAATTTTATTTATTTTCAGCCCTTTTCTTGATACCTTGAACTGTTGATATCTCGAATTTTTTTTCTAGTCCTTTAGTGTTCGAGATATCGAGAGACGACTGTATAGGTTAATATACTTTTGAAATATTTTTTAAATCAAAATGAGAAATGCTCTACAAAAAACGTATTGTTTGCTCACAACAGAAAAAAAAATTTTTTTTGATGACCTGTGTAATATTATTAAGAAAGTTTTATTACAATATTCTATAATATATTATTGAAAATGGTTGATCTGAACAGTAAATCATAAGAACTTTCATAAAAATATAAGACACAAAATTATCAATTGGAAATTATACAACTTAAAATTAAAAACTGTTAAATGTAAAATGAACATAAACTTTAAATTAGGTAAAATTAAATTTCATGAAATATTTAAACCTCAAACATAACTCTATGTGTATATAATTGTATTAAGTTAAAAACCATTTAGTATCCACAATCCCCTTACTCCCTGTTTCCATTATGAAAATATGATGAACTTAGGTTTAAAAGTACCTAAAAAGTTATTGGTTTGATTTACCTTTCAAAATATTTATTAAATTTGCATAAACTGTTTAAAGTAACTATTTCAAATCCATCTCTATCTATTATATGCTGAGTTTCATCTATTAGTGAAACTTTTTGAAAAGTATACCAAACAAAGTCAGGAAAGAACCAAAATAGAGCAGAGATTTCACAAATAATAATGGTTTTAAATAAAAATCAAATACCAAATGAACAACATTATTGAATTAAAATTGAAATGGTCATTTTTTACTAGAGACTAGCAACAACTAGTTTTTGTTTTTTATAAAAACAATTGTGAATGTTGAAATAAAATTCTGGTTATTTTAAGATTGAAATGTTTAAATTTAGATTTTTGAAAAACTTAACTATAGTATTTGACTCAGTGTGTGAAGCATGACTTTTCAAAAGGTAAATGAAACCAATGATTTTTAGGCGTTTTCAAATCAAAGTTCATTTATTTTTTCACACAGGAAATAAAAGATACCAAAACGCTATTAGGCTAAAAAAAACACATAAAAACTAAATACATACATACATGTTTGAAAATAGCTCACCATTTTTTTTTGGACCCCTCCAGACAACTGCGTCATTTTCATTCTTCAATAGAAATGCAATAGACATAACAGCTAATTGTTGTAATTCGTCAGTGTAAACAGGAACCCATCTTCAAAAAAAACTTTGAACAATAATAAAACAAAAATATAACTAAAAAACATATACCAAAAAATAAAAAAATAAAGAAAATTAATTTCATACCCTTCAGAACATTGATGAACATCTTTTCCTTTTAAGTTTAACATATGAGGAACACTAGGTCCGCATAAATCAACATCAAGAATGCCTACCTAAAGTATTCATAATACAGACCTATCTAAAGTATTCATTGTACAGACCTACCTAAAGTGTTCATGATACAGAAAAAATCAATGCAAGACTGCATACCTAAAATGATTTATTTCTGATCCATTTTTTAAACTTCACATAATTGTACTCATTTAAAACATATTTTTTAACAAATTGAACATTTGTTAAAAATAACATGTATCTTTTATATTTATCTATATCTATAGATAAATATGAAAATAAAATAACAAAACAATATATAAATATACAAAAAAATGATTAAAAATTATCTATCAAATCTATATTTAATTTATGTTTCTTCGATAACTTACTTTCTTTCCCTCATTTACAAGTCCAAGTGCAATTTGTGTTGCTACAGTACTTTTACCAACTCCTCCTTTACCAGATAACACCAAATATATATGTTTAATAGAATCCATTATTCTCTGAAAAAAATTCTAAAATTTTGCTTAATATAGTTATTAAAAAAAAATTTGTTATTAAAAAGATAAAAATACTTATAAAAGTAACACCAAAGAAATAAACTTAACATACTAAACTTACATAATAAACTAAAGTATTAGGATATATATATATATATATATATATATATATATATATATATATATATATATATCATCTTCTTGAATAATCTAAGACAAGTTCTATAAACTACTTTATAGTTCTATAAACACATTATAATAACACATAATAAACACAGTATATTATAATAAACACAGATATTTTTAGATCAGGATCATAATCACATTGTGAACATGCAACCCATCATGCAACCCAGTACAACCTTCAACACGTCATACTGCCTTGTAGGACTTGCTTTTCTAGACAAAGGCTAAAAAAGTCAATTCTGATATAAATTACCCCGTGTGCCTTAAGATTTATCTTACTCATTAATGCTTATTTTTGCAGGTGTTAACTGCGTCAGAGTACCTTTAAAGTAATCATTTTAGGGGTAAGCAGAAAATTACTGTTGACGAGCCTTGCACTGCTTCTTTATCTAGTAGACTGGCATATGATGTACACCTGTGTTACATTGTTACTAGCATAAGATGAATGCTGGATCTTCTTAAATTCATGAATGAGATTTTGCTTAGTAATGGCTTGTGTAACTTTTTCTGCTATCTCCTAATGAGATTACAGCTCTAAAACTCAAATTTGTTTTTTTGGCAATTTTTACTGTTGGAACGTTTTTAAAAATCTGTAGTAAAGAAGCTATTCTTACACTATCTAGGTGAAAAAATAAGTAAATTTTTCTCTCCTTTTATCTTTTAAATCTAACTATATGATATAATATGATATATATATATATATTTATATTTATATTTATATATATATATATATATATATATATATATATATATATTTATATATATATACATATATATATATATATATATACATATATACATATATATATATCGGGGATATATATATATATATATATATATATATATATATATATATATATATATATATATATATATAATCAAATATAAACTAAATATAACTACATATCAGGTACTGAAATAAGGCAAAATGTGACAAACCAAATTGTCTATTTACGGCAGTAGCTCCTGTTCCAAGTTCTTATTTATTACCTTTTTTTATTTACAAAGAAAAGACTTAATAATTGCATGGAGATGTACGAAATTATAAAGTTTTTCAGATTTATGCTACCAAAAATAATTTTTCATAAATAAATGTACATCAACTTGAACTTGGATATTTTTAAATAGATTTCTGTAAATTTGGGTAAACAATCAAAGTTATTAAAAATTAAAAAGGTATAGCTATTAATTTGTGTTATAGCTAACAAGACAACAATATATTGAAATAACCAGACGTTTAAGTAATGAAATAACCAGCTTTTCCAGCATAATAAAATACACATTTTGTATATGTGTATACACATTTTGTATACACATGTGTATACACATGTGTATACACATTTTGTATATGTGTATTGTATAATTCTGTTGCAAATGAGTTATTTCAAAACTATATTTTTAATTGCTTTAAAAATTTCATAATTGATGGATAATAATTGTATAAATAATTGTTGTACAATTAAAACACTGATATAAAACTTTTTTAGATCGCGCTTTGTATAAAAGGTTTGAAATTGTAAAAAAACATTGTAAAACTTAAGATTCACAGACACTTAATAAAAAAGATAAAAAAGTTATTTAAATAGTGTTACAGGAAAGGAAAATATTATATATTTAATATTAAATAAACAAATCTTATATAATATGTTATAAAACAATGTTATTATAAAACAATATTATTAAAAATAATCTTATGTCATGTTTATACCGTGAAATCATAAATTATTGCAGAATCAAAGATGAAATATTGAAAATCCTCTGCAAAAAATGGTGGATAGTTACCAGAATTAATGGTAAGTGCAGTTGAGGACTTTCAAAATAAAATTATTAATGAACAGAAAGCTGTCAAAATATATGAAGTCAACAGGTTAACACTGCACAAAAACATAGCAAAAGCTAGAACATCTGTTGAAGGAAAATTTGAAAGCAATTTGTACTCTTCAAGTTAAATGAGAATTTTTTTGCAGAGGAACAACTTTTGAATGAATATTGCATAAAAGCTCCTAAAATGGGATACAGTTTAATTCCAGATAAACCTCAGAGTTATGCGAATAATATTGCCTTAAAATTGGAAAGACGGCAACATCATTCAAGAAAGATAAAATCTGTGGTTAAAAAATATTTTTATTGCAAAAATCCAGTGTTTGTTTTACCAGATCTGGAATGTTGACAAAACGGGGATTACAACAGTTCAAGTACATGTAGTTGCTTAAAAAAGGTGAATAACAAATATCTGTTATCAGGGCTGAACATCGAATAATGTTGAGAATTATGTGCAATGTAGTAAATGCTTATGGTACTTCAGTACCTCCATCCTATATATTTCAATGGGTATATTTTAAGGACACTTTTAAATAAATGGACTTTTATGTTGTGCCGGCATAGCCTAGTGAACTAGATGGATGGATTAAACATGTAAGGAGTGGTTCACCAACTTTTTGCTTTTTTGTCATTCATCAAAGGAGTATCCGATTTTTTGAGTTGTAGACAATTAGTCACATTTTTTCGCATTTTTTGATGCAAACTTTTGATGCAGCAAAAGAAAATCAATTTTATTTACTAATTTTACTACCACATATATCACACAAATATTCAATCTTCAACAATATTGCTGTTTATGAACCTTTCAATAGTATGTATAATAGTAGATTCTTGTTAAAAATTCAAGAAAACAGTTTTCTATTTCAGGAAAAGTTTGGTTAAAAGCATCAATGCCATTTTGTAGGTTTGCTACAACTGGATCTCGTCCATACTATCTTGAAAAATGATAAGATTAAGACTTATCTCAATCAGGTAAAAGTTTGGGAGAAATTAAACGATTTGATCAAACTTTTCTTAGAAATAATTTTTAATTATGAAAAAAAAGTTGATTGTACTTTTCTTTGTTTTAAATAGTTTAGAGTTAATTCAGCCAATATTGAAATAACATATATAATAAACAATATATGGTTATTTCAGTACAACTTCTGTTTAAACCAGTACAACTGCTGGTTATTTCAGTACAACTGCTGTTTAAACCAGTACAACTGCTGGTTATTTCAGTACAACATAAAGTACAACTGCTGCTTCTCACATAAAGGACCATAACAATAACTAGAGGTAAATTGAAAAATGTTTTAAAAATAGTTTTTTAAAACATTTTTCAATTTACTAAAGTTTTCAATGTTATCTTTTTATATTGTTCCCAATGTTATGTGTATTTTACAGCTAGATAAACATTACATCAGAATATATTTTCAATTTTAGATTTATTATGATGCTTTTGAAGTATCTGCAGGATTTTCAGAAAATCCAAGAAAAGATTTTTTTGATACGGATTTCCCCTATCTTGGCATTTAAAAAAAAAAAAATTAAGGTAAAATAAAAACTGCAAACTGTTTACTAAAGACATTGCTCAAGAAACAATAAGTTCTCAAACAAATGTTTTTAAAAAATATCATAATAATAAATACGTATTCTGGTCTTGACATAATGTATTATGCCAAAACAGCATTATGCCAAAATAGCATTATGATATAACAGTTATGTCATTCTTTGAAGAGAATTCCATAAATTATGCAGCCTAAAATAAGTTGCCTAATTATTGGAAACCTGCTAAACACCCCAATATCACCCAACTGAGCAGTTTAGGAGTATTCTAAAAGTAATGGCCTATGTAAAAAACTGACAGGCATAAAAATGTGTTACAACTCTGTAATAGAACAAGTACTTGCATCAAGAAAGTTCACCAGAATCTCATAAAATTTTTTTAATATGAAGAAGTAGACTAGTGAACTTTCAGCAATCAAGAGGTTAGGGTTCAAATCTACCCTATAACTCTGAAATTACCAAGATTAACTGTCCATCGCTTTGTTTAACAATGTTCATGTTTTGGAGTTTAAGTCTGAGAAAGTGTTTCAAATTAAAATAGAAAAAAAAAAAAAAAAAAAAGAAAGAAAAAGAAGTAGCCTTCTCATCTGTAGTGATACCTCTTAAGCAAAGCCATTGGAAAAATCATTGGAAAAACTAGAAAATTTCATATTCAAAGTAATGAAGGGAATCAATACTTAAATACATTTCTATTTGGGGCTTAAAAACTTAGGGAGTGACAATTTTCACAAATTTTTATTGGAAATTTATAATAATAAAAATCTAAAAAAAGATTTCATATAAACAGTCACAGATTTACACAAACAAATCTAAAATATATTTTAAATATTAACAGATTACATGTGAACCTGTTGGAACAAAAACCATGTTTTGTGGGAAATACAAAGACTTTGGTTAAATACCATGTATGTAACCAAAGTCATTTCCAAAGTAAATTTTGTATTTCAAAAAGACAACATACTTGTACAACAGCTGATATACCCCTTAAAATTTTTGTGGAATTTGTTTTCAAATTTTTACAAATGTGGTGTATAAATAAAGAATCAAACAAAACTAAAAAGAAAATAAATGTATTTCATTACATTTGTTGCTTTGCAACACCAATACTTTTTTTTAAAATATGCAGTTTAAAACTACTGCAATTTTTAAAATCACATATTTGCATCACAAAGGACAATTTAAGTCATTCAATTTAGTCAATCATAGTCATACGGAGCAAAACTATTTCTTGAAATGCGACAAATATCTAATAACTTATTTGGTTTCTGTTTGTTTAACACATTCTAAAGCTACATTATGAACTTTGAATTTTGCTTCCTAAAAAATGAGAAAAAGAATGCTCTTCTCGAATTTCTGATTCATCAATATTTTCTTCATCACTCTCTTCAACAGTACTTGTTGCATAATTAATTGGAATATTTGGAGGCACAGGTTTTGTAAAGAACCCACTTTCTAATGAGCTTTTGCTTTTTAAAGTTTTTTGATCATCCTCATTTTTGGTTTTCAAAACTTTCTTTTTCTCGAGTTCTAAAAATATATATATATATATATATATATATATATATATATATATATATATATATATATATATATATATATATATATATATAATTTGATTACTTATTTTTACATAAACTGCAATATTACTAAAAATAAATTTATTTTATTAAATACAAGGAAGAATAAATCAAGAAATTACATAATAACATTAGTCTGCAAAAAAATAAACATAGTAAAGGAAAGTATACAAGTATAAAATTATATATTATATATTAAACAATATATTACAGAATAAATTACAACCTTAATATATTTATACTGTCATATATACTTTGCAAACTTTAAGTTTTATAATGCCAACTTTAAACCAAACAAGTTTTTCCAGAAATAATATTAAAATTTTTTTTTGCTTTAACAAAAGTCCTTTATTTTGAAATGATATTTTCATTCCAACCCAAACCCTCTGTCAATATAAGTTCTAAAGCCCCTACAGATAGCTATTTTAGTATAACATCATCAGTGAAATTTATCAATTTAAAATATTTTTTAAATATTTTGTAACAATTATTGGTGTATATATAATCTATAACAGATTAAAATCAACACAAAAAACATAATAGGCACTGCAAAATAGCTTTAGGTTTCATCCTATACATTGAAAACAAGAAAAGAAAAAGTTTTTTTGATTTTTTTGTCTTTTTTTTTTAATTTTTATTATTGCATGAAAAGATGTCTGTATTTGAGTCAATATTTCAAAAATTAAATTGAACAAAAATTGAACCTAAAAACTGAACCTAAGATAAGTATACTTATAAGGGATAAGTATACTTAAGTATACACAACTTAAATGTGAAATGGCCATAAAATCATATTTAGTTATTTATAGAATCCAGATAACTGAGAGAAAAAAACATTTCTTTAAAGGTACCAGGTTTATATTCTGTGTTGTATTCAATGATGGCTGTGCTTATTGCTGACATAAAATTATCCATTCCCAAGCCTGTTACTGAAGAAACTCCTGTAAAAAAATAAAAATTGAAAGTAATAGTTATAACAAAAAATAGTAATGCATAAACTTATAAAAAATAGTAATGCATAAACTTATAAAAAATAGTAAGGCATATTTTTATAAAAAATAGTAAGGCATAAACTTACTAAAAATAATAGGGCATACTTATAATAAATAGTAAGGCATAAACTTATAAAAAAATTGTAAAGCATAAACTTATAAACAATAGTAAGGCATACTTATAAAAAATAATAAGGCATACTTATAAAAAATAGTAATGCATAAACTTATAAAAAATAGTAATGCATAAACTTATAAAAAATAGTAAGGCATAAACTTATAAAAAATAATAAGGCATATTTATAAAAAATAATAATTAGTAATAATCATAATAACTGACAGATATTAAATATTAATAATAATTAGGAATCAAGTAAAAATATTAGTAATTAAAATTATTAATTAGTAAATAAGAGTAATAGTTATAATAAATAAACTATAACAAATAAAAACAATAGTATGAAAATAATACAATAAACAAAAACAATAGTATGAAATAGTTATAATAAATAAAAACACCTATAACAAATAAAAACAACAGTATGAAATAATTATAACAAATAAAAACAATAGTATGAAAATAATACAATAAACAAAAACAATAGTATGAAATAGTTATAATAAATAAAAACACCTATAACAAATAAAAACAACAGTATGAAATAATTATAACAAATAAAAACATTAGTATAGAACAGATACATAAAAGTAAATAAAAAACAACAGTATACAATAGGTATAATTAAAAAAAAACAACATGTTACCAACACATTTTAAGTGTTCATAAAACTCATCAAGAACTAAACTCATGGAACGTGTTAAGTTAGAGATATATGAAGTCTCCATACTCAGAGCATCTTGAAATGAGTCAAAATTGGTCATCCAGTCTGTTATAAATGAATGATCCACAATATCAATCTAGAATAATTATTTTGTTTTTGAAAAAAATTAAAAAAAATGCTTTTAAAAATAAAATTAGAAAAAATGATTACGAATACAACATTTTGAGCTTGATAAACTTTAAACTTTGAATAACTTTTGAAATTTTAAAAAAAAACTTACTTTATTTAGAAGCACAATAAATGGTAGTTTAGTTTTATACATGATGCTGCAAGCATATAACATGTTAGACATAAATGTTACAGGATTCGTGCTACGTGCTGTATCCATGACATAAACAATGATTGTTGGCAGAGCTGATGCAAGTGACTCTGTAATAATTGCGCCTGAGGCTGACCAAGTAAACACTTCTATTTGTCCAGGGGTATCAATTATAATGGAACTAAAATTAATTATTTCAATTGTGTTAATTTTCTTTGATCTTTCAATTTTTCTTTAACTTGGAAGTAACGAAATAATAGTAAAGGAAAGGGAATGTCGTAATGGTGGGATAAATAATAGTAAAGGAAAGGGAATGCCGTAATGGTGGGGTAAATAATCTTGTAAATAATATTAAAACAGGGGAAAGCATTAATGGTGCGATCTGGAAAAGTGCAGAGCAGAGAGAGGTAATGGAGGATGGTATAACTCGTTTATATGCAAAGTTAACTGTATCATAATCATAAAACGGAGCCAAAAAGCAAAAATTTTTATTTAATAAGAAATTAATATCTGAACAACCTTTTTTAAACAAAGTAAAAATTTATGAAAGAAACAATTAAAAAGAGCTAATTAGATGAAAAAATTCAAAATAAAATTGGCATATCTGAACAACCTTTTTTAAACAAAGTAAAAATTTATGAAAGAAACAATTAAAAAGAGCTAATTAGATGAAAAAATTCAAAATAAAATTGGCTTGAAGTTAAATGTGTCGATGAACAAGAAGATTTTCAAGATATACATGAAAACTAAAGATATAAATTTGTGCAACAAAATTAAAAAACAATGAATTGCAGCATGAAATATGGCAAACAGAAATTTTAACTGGTATTTAAACCATGAATAGAAGAGATCTAGATTTAACCAAAAAAAATTTTGCTTACTTTATAGAAAAAGAAGAACTACTCTTTTAATAATGTTGAACGAGCTAAGTTTAAAGGTTACTATAAAATATAGATTCATTCAAAATGCTTCTTTATGTTGCTTTGTTTATAGAAATTCTAGCACTACAAAAAACAAAGATGTTGTCAAAAACTTTTCAAAGTAATGAGATCGTCAAACCCTGATGATACAAAATAGGCCTAGTATTTTGTATCAACAGGGTTTATTCAACAAACTAAAAACCAATTAAATTGCCTTTTTTATTTATTATTTTAGGTACTCCAAGAAGTCCTTAGGGTCTTATAACAGAACACCGCAGAAGAGCATTGGAAAGGAAGTTCACACCTCCTTCCTTATTATTATTATACAAATTGTTAGAGGTGGCATTGAACCACAATAACAAAATATAAATTATACAATAGTGTTTATTAATAGTGTTTCAATTAACACAATAGTGTTTCAATTAACACAATAGTGTTTACTGTTATAATTTACAGCTAAAGTTAAAGTTTAAGTTGCAGTTATTGTGTAATGAGCAAGCTATGATGTAATGAGCAAGTAATACTATTACATTATTACTATTAGTAATTGTTTTTACTTTTAAAAATAAAAATATTACAATATTTAAACCACTGTAATTAGTTGTAGAAAACTATTTAATATGTTCATGCTGACGATAAAACGTGTTATTTTTAAAGAGTATTGATTTTATATTGTAAAAATCTATAAAACAACAATAAAACAAACTGCAAGGTTTTACAATATAAAAAGCTTGTGTTAATATAAAACAACTTTGTGACGCTGTTTGTGTTGCTGTTTTATAAAGTTAAGTTTTTATAAAATTAATAACATAAAACGCATTTAAAATAAAACATATAAACATGTTTAATTTAAAAAAAAAATGTATCCATATCTGTAGACCAAAGGAGTACGCTCAAAGCAAAAAAACATTAGTGTTTTTATGCTTTTTTTAAAAAAACATTAGATACCACGTTTTTTAAAATTTATTGCAATCACAATTAAAAATCAAAGTATAATAAACGTACTAATAAAATATAAAACACTAATAAAGTATAATAAAAATTATTACTATTAAAAATTTAAGAATAAATAATTTTTTCATTCAAATGGTTTTTAAGTGAATGTTTTCATTCAATTTTTTGTACAAATTGATTTGTAAAAAAAATGAGAAAAAAATTTGGATTATTAAATTGATTTTTTTTGAAAAATAATTTTTTTTTCTTATTCAAATAATTTTTATAATTTAATTTTTGGTTTAACCTTTGTAAAAATCACTGGTTTAATTCTTGTATTTTGCATAATCTATTTAACATTTCTTGTTAAAATAATTCTTAGTTAAAAGCTTATATTATGTGTTAACAACATATAAATAGAAACATTTATATGGCTAACTTTTGCGAGTCTTTGAGTATATTAAGTAAATTAATACAGTTGATAAGTTAATATTTGAGTAACTGTAAGTTACTGTAGTATCTTAACTGGTTGTTTTGATTCAGTTTATAAGTAAATTTACTGTGATGTACTTTATCTATTCAATAAATCCAAGTGAATATAACTTTAAAAGGTTCAGGGTCGTTAAAGCGAAAAACATTGGAAGCAAAAAAGTTACTGGTTTCTATTAGAATTGATTTACTGTTAGAAAAAAAATTTAGTAAAAACGAATTTAATATATATTTTAATATACCTAAAATAGTAAAATTATAAATATAAAATTGTTGATAAAATAATAACTTATATTGTTAATAAGTTAATTTGGTGCAACGTTTTTAAAAACAAAGATAAAAACCAAGCAGTTTTGTTAAAAAAAAAGAATGAAGAAATTCCCTTTTAAACTTTTCGCTTTAATGACATTTTAAAATACTATTGGCTTCCACAAAGAGATTTTAAATTAATTTAAAGTCAAAAAAGCTTTATGTTGAATGAAAAAATCTCTGAGTGAATGACTAAGTGGTAATGCTTCAAAAGATAAATTTAGTGTGATGTACTTTATGAACCCTAATAAAAAAACTCAAACAATAACATTAGTTTTAAGAATTGTCAAAAAAAAATGCAAACTTAGAAAAAAATAAAAACAACTATAAATAAAAAATAAAAAGTCACGAAAATATTTATTTTTTATAAAAAAAACTAATCGCAAAGGTTTAAAAAAAAGCAATTGCAATTTGCAATGGCGATACGCTTAATTCAAGTCCTGAATTCTGGCAAACACAAACCCGGCCGGAATTTTATATTTTCAATCCGGTACACTTCTACTAAGAAGGATGGAAAGTTTTATTTCAAGGGTGTTCCATGTGTCAAGTTTAGCTTAGCAAACAACATCAGTAGGTAATTGATTCTAATAAAAAAAAGTTCTGTTAGTTAGGAAATAATGACAAAAAGGTAAAAAATTAGTTATATTATGATTTTATTTAATTTTATGACCCCTGGCTGATTGATAACCTGTTATTTTTGTTTTTCAAACTATGAGTATATTTTACTCTAATATTTACTATAATAAAATAAAATAACGGCACATCGAAAATTTTTACTCTATGAGTATATTTTGTACCTAAAATTATGTGAAGGATATTTTTAAAACAATGCCTAATATAATATTTATGTGTATATAATACCAAATCAAAAAATAATATAAAAAAAACTTTAATAATATAATGTTTCAATGTATAATTAAATGTTTTTTTTTATCACAGCTTTTATTTGCACACTTAAAAATGCTATCAAAAAACCATAAACATTTTATTACAACTTTAATGACTTTAATTTCAAATCTGTGTTAGCTAGCAATACAGCACTGATTCAGTTAAGAATTCATTGAATCAGTTGAAAAACCAACTCAGAGTCCTTTCAGTTTCTTTTTTTTTCCTTTTTATTATTAAGCGTTCTTTCAGTTTGTTTTAATTCCTTTTACAGATTTAGTGTCACTGGTTCTGTGTTTTTAGTTATACATTAAATAATTATTATTTACTTTTACAATAAAATATTGTTTTGTTGTCTGAATATAAAACAATAACTATCATTTTCTACCATATCATACTGAAATTCAGAGACGATACAAGCAGATGCTTATAGCTGATGTTAATTTTTATATGCTATGAATATTATACTAAGTACAAGATATTAAAGTATTACAAAATATTTTGTTAAAACAATAATAATAATAATAATTCATACCTGTATTCATTGTTTTTATTTTCTACAAAATTAAGTACTTGATCGAACTTTGTTACAAACAAATTTAATGAAGTCATAATTGCACCATTAGGTCCAAGATTATACTGTTTCATTACTTCCTTATAATCAACAGTATCACGAATATCAATATTTGCAGGGTACGGTATTTCATGCACGGCAGGATCCAAATTAATTACATAAGGTGGAGTTTTTTTTGAGTATAAGTATGATGTTAATCGCTAAATATATACATATATATATATATATATATATATATATATATATATATATATATATATATATATATATATATATATATATATATACATATGTATGTATATGTATATATATATACATATATATATATATATATACATATGTATGTATATGTATATATATACATATGTATGTATATATTTGTACATGTATTTATTTATGTCAGCCATAACCTTATGCATACATATATATATATATAATATATATATATATATATATATATATATATATATATATATATATATATATATATATATAAAGTAGTAGAAAATCACTTAGCAAATTTTCTTTTTTATTTTACACTGTGTTTCATCAATAAAGACTCATCAGAAATGAATGATCAAATTAATAAAACTTCAATTTATACTAAAAAATTAAATTACAGTAATTTGCAAATGTAAATTACTAATAATGTAAATTAAAAACTACTGTAAATTTTCACACATTTTTAAAATATGCTTCATTTATTTAAATTTTATTACTTTATTAGCCATCCACCATTAATTAGAATTTTATGGCTGTATATACCATTTATTAAAAAATAACTGCTGCGCTTTAACTTACGTTAAAAAAAAAAAGCTAAAAAAATGTATGTTTTGTGCATAATTTTGATGCAGTCTCAGAAGATGTTTAAAAGGAATTTAATTTCAAGCATAAAAAAAAAAAAATGTTTAGAAAGTAAAAACCGAAAAAATATTTGTGATAACATTTTTTTTTAAGAATAAAATTTAAATATTGTACAATATTTAATAATATTGTTTAAATCAAAACTAAATTATATATATATATATATATATATATATATATATATATATATATATATATATATATATATATATATATATATATATATATATATATATATATATATATATATTATCATAATAAAATTTTATACTTTTATTGAATTAGTTTTAAATTAAATCATATATTTTATATCAGAATTAAATTATATATTTATTAATATCTTTGCTTCAAGCTTTTGGTGTACAATGTTATTACATAATGTTATTGGTGATAAAATATACATAAATTTTAATAAATCTTTGCTTGAATTTTATATTTTTATACTGGACATTTGCTTAACACCTTTTAATAGTTTTTAGCTAACTCTTACTCTAATATAATCTTTTCTCCTTCTTCCCTGAGGCTCCTATGGTTGTATATACTCCACTGAAGTAACTGGTTTACGAGTCCAGTTGAAAATGATAAATGTTAACTTAGCAAGTATATGTATTGTATATATTATTCTTTTGAAAAACTTAATTTAATAACAACCACCCTAAAAAAACAAAAATAAAATCAATACGCAAATTATTTAAATTAGCCCTCTTAATCAAGAGGTCATTCTTTTTATTAGTACAATTTATTTAACAACATAAAATTATTGGGAAATGTTAAAGATCTTAAAACCGACGAAGCTTGATCTTGATCATAATGCACCAACTGCTTCAAAAGAATGGAAGCATTGGAAACAAACATTTGAGAATTTTAGTTAGGATTGTGGAGAGGATGCTCCAGACAAATTTTGCTCCATCATTAATTTTGTTTAATCAAATGTTTATTATTACATTGAAGAGCGTGATTCCTATGAAAGTGTTATTGAAACTCTAGACAACTTATATATAAAAAACCGTAATGAAATTTTTCCAAGGCATCAATTACTTATAAGACATTAAACATCAAGTGAATCTTTAAAAGACTTGCTTCAGGAACTACATAAACTCAGCAAAAACTGTAATTATAAGGATGTTTCAGCTGAACTATCGAGAGGAACAAATAAGAGATGCTTTTATTTCTGGAATAAATTTGAATTACATTTGTCAACGACTTCTAATAAAAAAATGTTCTGTTAGTTAAGAAATAATGACAAAAAGGCAAGTTATATTATGATTTTATTTAATTTTATGACTCAAACACCTTTACACTGAATTAGATACATATACTCTTCCCAGAATAGATGATATGATAAATGGACTTGCAAAGTACAAAGTATTCTCTACATTTGACTTGAAAAGATTCTGAGCGATTACGCCCTTTGGATTTACTACCTCCTCCTTCTAACATTTATCACTTTGATGAACTTTAGGTATGTTTTCTTACAATTCAAAATGGATACCTTCGTTTGCTAACAAAGTACAGCTTTTAATTAATGTTGAATCCTTTCCGATCAATAGTGAGGCACTTAAAGCATTTCAATTTCTTAAAAGACAACTTCACACTGCCACTTTGAGTTCTATCGATAAGAGTTTACCGTTTCACCTACCTTAAATCAAAATGGTTTTCCAGTTGTCTTCATGTCTTGAACATTAGGCAAAAGTGAAATCAATTACCCATTAGTAGAAAAAGAAGCTGTGGCTATTATTGAAGCCGTTCAAAAATAAATTTCAATTGATTCCGCAACATTTACTGTTACGAAATTAATTTAAATTAATTACTGATCAGCGTTCTGTAATTATGTTTGATAACCGAAAGAAAACAAAGATTAAAAATATACACTATTTTTAGTACAAGTGTATGCATATATTAGGCTTCATATGGAAAAGTTGTCTCAATTTATGGATTCAACAAGTATATTTTTTAAAAAGAAAGAACATGTATGGATGCAAGATGAGGAAATACAAAATATTTGTTTGAAAAATCTTTAAAAAAATACCTATTGTCTGTCTCCTAAGAACTTAATATATTGTAAGCTAAGGATGAAGACACTAAATAAAGGAACCGGCTTTACTTGCCATTAGAAATTTTAGGACAAGTAAAGATACAGAATACCGTGTTACAAATATTGATAATGTTGACTTTCAAGCAACATCTTTTGGAAAGATTTATTTGACTTAGAAATTAAGCAACAAAAGAAATTCTGAACTTACCTGAGTTTCATTTTAACGCGCAGAACATATAACGGGCTGTCAAATTAGCTAGAGAGACTAGTCACCAAGAATGTGATAAGGAAGCTTGTCATTAATATATTTTGACTCAACTAAAATCCAGGTAAATTTTACCATATTCTGAAACTAAAAATGACTTTGTGGTTTTTAAGTAATTATTTTTGTTACGCATTTGATTTTCATAAAACCTATTTATATGAAACCTATTTATATGAATGTAGATGCTTTTAATTTTTAAAATGTGAGGAATATAAAACTGTATTTGGGACCAATTAAGTAGTAGGCTAGTGGCAAAGTGTTCGACTCACATTCGCAAGATATCTACTTCATAAATATTTCCCTTAATCCCGCGCCTTTGACAATTGAAACCTCGATAAGCAATTGTATTCATGAATTTATGTGTTTATAGTGTTAAAATCAATAACAAACATAGAGAGAACACGTTTGGTTTTTTGTGATGGTTATCTATCGCTATTTATAGTACTGGTTTATTAAGGTGAATCGAACAACTTAAATACGATTATGATTCAGCGCTGAAGGATGGAGTTAGCAGAGTTTAGTTATACTATATCGTATCAGACTGGAAGTTATAATATCGGCCCTGATGCACTCATACATACTTTTTGTGCTACAACAGAATATAAAACAGTGATATACATAGCTGTCTATGTGACCCATGGGTTACTCCTATGCTTCACTTTGTTAAATCTAAAAATTTACCTTTTTCTACAGAAGAGTTCAAGAGAATTTGTTCTAACTGCCAGATTTGTTCAGAATTAAAACCAAAGTTTTATTGATCCGCAAATGTCTGTGAGTTAATCAAGTCAATACATCCAATGGATCGCCTAAGTATAGATTTTAAAGGACCATTGCCATCTAATTCTAGAAATAAATATCTGTTTACAGTCATTGGTGAATATTCTCGGTCTCCACTTGCTTTCTCATATCCTGATATTAGTTCAACAACTGTTGTGAAATGTTTAGATCAAATATTCTCCTTTTGTGGTTTTCCAACATACATTTATTTTGACAAAGGGTCATCTTTCATATTTAATGAATTAAAATCTTACCTTACTCAGAAAGGAATTGCAACAAGTAATTCTACCCCATATCATCCTACCAGTAATGGACAGGTTGAGAGATATAATGACTTGATCTAGAAAAATATTTGTTTGGCACTAAAAACCCACAACCTAGATGTAAGAAACTGGGAAATTGTTCAATCAGATGCTTTCCACTCACTCCGTTTGCTAATTTCAACTGCAACTAATTGTACACCCCATGAGATGTTATTCAGTTTTCTTAGGCGCTCGTTATTCAGAACTTCATTACCCTCATGGTTAACTCCTGGCCCAATTTTTTTAAGACGTTTTGTGTGTACAAACAAAAAGGTTAGCTTGTGGATAAGGTCAAATTAGTGGATGTAAATCCAACATATGCTAATATTAGTTACTCTGATAGACGAGAGTCAACTGTTTCACTTCAAGATCTTGCACCGTATCCTGCCCCAAAAGAAAATTTTAATACTAATGAAAATAGTATCAATGAGTCTAGTAAGAATGTAACTGCGAAAGTACTTGATGTAAACAAAAGCCCCTCACCTGAAATTATATTGGAAATCAGAATTAAGGTAGATGAGCCAGTAACTGAGCCATTTGCTGATGTATTACGACGTTCTGCAAGAGCTTGTAAGGCTACTGTAAAATATGATGACTTTTCTACATAGATGGGAAGATTGTTGTGTTTTCTAATGTTGTTATTGAACTATTTGTTTTATATATGTGTCTATTTTTTTTGTATCTTTAGATTAGTAAGATTGTTGTTAAATAATGCCTTAATCAAGAGGTCTTTTTATTAGTTCATTACAATTAACATTATTTACAAGTGTAATAAGAAAAATAAAGAATTTTTTTTTATTAACCTAACTTTTCTAACTTTATAAATTATTCAAAATAGTATTTTAGGAAGTTTAGATTTTCAAGAATAAATATACTTGATTATGTTATAAAGTAGAAATATATTTGATAACAAGAGTATCTAAACAGAGTTATATCTATAGAAAAAGTTTTTTATTT